GTTTAAAATGTAGGATAGGTAAATTAAATCGTAATGTGAAAATCCAGGAGCGGGATGTTGTCCATGAGTTGAAACCAGGGAAGGATTGGATGTGAGGATTAAGTCAAGCCAAGTGTCTTCCCCTGAGACGTTATGATGAGTGGCTTGGAGGGGTAGAAGGTTTAAACAACTTGACTCAACTATGTGTAGGAATTTACGGGAACGTGGGGAATTGGGATCTAGGAGATTGGTGTTAAAATCACCCATAATAACGTGGTGAACATACTCCAAACCCAAAGATTCTAGGACCAATTCAAAATCGGTGAAATAGTCAACACATGGGGGGCAATATATAACGGCAATTATTATTTTGGCACATTTAACCGTTACCTCAAGGAAAAGGAATTCGGCAGTAGTTGAATTCTGAGGGGAGGAGGCCAGCACTGTATAAGGAAGATCGCTTCTCAGATATATGGCGACTCCTCCTCCTCTCTTACCTATTCGGTCATTACGGATTAAAATAAAGCCAGGAAGGGAATACATGGAGGATGAAAGATGAGGTTTGAGCCAACTCTCAGAAATCAGAATGGCGTCTACATTAAAGTTGGAGAAAGTATCGTAGAAGTCATCGAAGTGGCTTGGAACACTTTGCGCGTTTATATGGCAAATATGGAATAGGTAACACGGACTTTCTGAGAATTTTACACTTAAAAAATCTCCAAGTCATCAGCTATGGATTCGGCAGTTTCATTTGCAGAAAAATAACTATCATCATCAGATATTATAGACATGGATAAAAATATATAATATATAATTATTTAAAATATATAAATATATATGTATATATATATAATGAAAATAAAAACAAAATTAAAAGTGCAATAAAATTAGTGATGCTAAGTATAATCTCAGCACCACCCGCCAGCATAACCAATCGTATTAAAATAAAACAATAACAGTAAAAAAAAAAAAGATTAACAACAAAAAAACCAAAGTCTTTACAGTGCTCAAATGATTAAAAAGGAAAAGAAAAAAAAAACTATAACTTATTTTTTAAACTACAAGATCGTTAAACAATAATCAATAAAAATATTGAAACAGAACGCTCATTTTTAATCTATCCAGCCATAGCTATTGCGAAACGTCGATCAATCAATCGGTAACGAGAATAATTGTAAACAAAGAGCTGTCATAACCAAACAAAATATTTATCCTTTAAAACGTCTCGAAACAAAACAAATTTTGAAAGTTAATATGAATCTAGACTAAAACAAAATGAAAAGTAACATAGCAAACATAACACAAAACAAGAGACAGTAAAATAAAAATTAACAACAAAGACGTATATATATGGCGGATGATTGTTTGTTTCCAAAAGTTAAGTACAATAAAATTTTTTATATAATATTATAAAAAAGTAATACGAAAGGCGTTACTATTATTATTACATTACTACTTTGTTTTTCAATGTATATATCTAGATACTAGAATATCTAGATACTAAAAAAAATAAATGTTATTCCGAAAATGAATTACACATATTGTCGCGTTTTAATTACATTTTAAACTTCGCAGCGTTCAATGTTTAAATTGTTCTTTGCAAACAGCCACCTGCAAAAGCACCTGCTCTTCTTTCCACTTCCGATGCTCTACTTTGAAATCTTTCAACGGCGAAATGAATAAAAAGTAACAAACATTTGTGATGAGCGGCTCGTAGACGTCAACGCGTCCTTCGGCATCGGGCGGGCTGTCACGCGCGACACACAGCTACAAACAAAGCTCGACTAACGAAGTCGACAGAGACCAGAGCCCATTTATTATAAAAGATACACGCTAATAATTTTGTACATTAAAATGCTTGCGGCGAATTGAGTACTTACGTTACGTCACGGTTTACTTACGTTGTTGTTTAACACATATTGTATCCATGTGCAACCGTTAGCGCTATATTATTCAAGGATTGTCTAATTATAGGTTTTATAAATCCATTTTCCTAGTTACTTGGAAAATATCAATGGAAATATATTAACGTCGGTTAGAGGAAATTACTTAACATTGCATATCATACAAATTAGTTCAGGTGGCAATGCAGCCGTGTGTAATAAGGAGCCGAGAGGGGTCCATAAGCCCCGTTTTGCAGTGTGATTGACGCTGAGCCCCATAAACATAAAAACTTGTTTGGGGGCCCACAGCGTTGGGCAAATAGTCGTCCGGACGCCAAAGTAAACTACTTAACACGATTTATTATCGGCGGTCGACGAATCGTGAACAAGCTATTGTAGAGAAACAAGACATGAGGCAACAAGATAAAATAACGTCACACGTCGATAATACACTTTGTCCCTGAAATTTTAATCTGACATTTGAAGTGATAACAGATATTTCGCTAAAGAATCAAACCCAAATACATCGCATCTAAGTTACTTTTTGTTTTATGTGAGGAAGTGGCAAACCTGATGTTAAGTGATAACCGCCTGCTCATGGACATTTGCAACACCCGTAGGGTTGCAGATGCGTTACCAACTTTAAATAAAGTGGGCCCCGGCTACCTCACTCACCAGACGAAACGCAGAAGTGCAACACTTCTAATTTACGGCGGTCTTCTGTGAGGTCGTGGTACTAGCCCGGACGGACCTGCCCATTCGTGCAACAGCGAACACTGTTGCGTGGCCCTACCACCGCTAAACTTAGTCATTTTAGTTAGTTTGAATAAGTATTTATCTAATTAGTTGAATAACTGCAACTTGCATGTGCATTACTTCTGATTATTCATTTATTGCATAACGTATTACAACGGAAACATTCGTACTTAAAAGCTCGTCGAGCACAGTAACTGAAACATTAACTTCATCTTTAAGGGGAGCTCAGCTCGGAGATGTTGATAGGAATAGATTGAGATCACTGAAAGTTGATCATTTGTTAATTTATCTTTGTTCGAGTGAAATCAACATGATCTATTTGTCAATTTATATGAACACCAAAAATATGGTTTCGAAATTTAGTTTAGCAAAATGCAACCACTAAAACTAATTATATACATTATTAAAATTTATTATTTTAGTACATATTAAACAAACTGCCGGCGTCCGTCTTTCCGTCCGATTACAACGTAGGCGTCTTCAAGGCAAGAGTGAATAGGTTTTTACTGAGCTAGCGCGCTTACCATCAAAGGCTGCATCGCCACTTACCATCAGATGGGATGGCAGTCAAGTGCTGGCCAGATGCAAATAAAAAAAATACCGGAATTAGACACATACATAAGTTTGCATAGCCTTATATAAATCATTTAAATACTTTAATAAGTGATAAAGAAACCAATCCTTCACTTCTGTTTTTATCCGCGGCAATTACACTGATAAAGAGGAATGTTACAATTCATTAAGATCGGTTGATAACGCGAATTGTGCCGCTTCTTGTTCAATAATTTACTTGCGATAATATTTGTATTATAAGCCACGCAGCTGCTTCGGCTACCGTATGAATGCGGCGGTAATCAGTTATCATCAGGTAAACCACCTGTTCGCTTGACAACTTTTCACCCAAAAAGTTAACTAAATACAACTGCTGTTGAGGCGCCAACGAGAGATTTAAATAAGCGTTTACGATAATGACTCATACAGTGTATATATTTGTAAAGAGTAAATACGACAATGATTGACGCCAAGACCTCGTTGACATGAAATACCCGGGGTGTTTTGAGAGAGAATTTCGGCTACGGTCGAAGCAGTGGCATCTCTCATCACAATTATCGGACTTTGATCAAACAGCCGGGCGCAGCCAGCGCGGTGGCTCGGCGCTTATCAACTCGCAGTGAGCGCTTGCGCTAACACGTTGCCGACGCCACTGTCGACTCTCCACACGGGCCACAGGCCGCCCTGCTCACACTCATTGCCTTGGGCTGAAAACCCGATTGAGTGAATCATTACCATCGGCGACTAGCTTCTGTTACAGCTTCTGTGCTGCTTATAGTTAATGGTTATCTGTTTACGAAAGATTTGATAAATTCAAATAACTTTACGTTCTTCTTACTAAAGCGGTCACCAAGATAGTTTTTCTTTGAGAGAAAGACAGAGTAACATGGGCCCACGTTATTGACTATTGTTGCAACACATTTGTATCCCTACGGGTTTTGCAATTGTCCACGGGGGCGGTTACCAGTTAACCAGCCAGTTAGCCAGCTTTCTGATATAAAATAAAATGTGATAGTCCCATACGATTTAAGCATTTCACGGTCTGGCCGAGTTCTGGTACCGTTCACGTGCGGTGGTCACGCGTACGGAGGAGATAAAAGTGTATAGCTCTGGATCAGCGCTTATCAAGTTTGCCGCGCCACATGGTCGGGACGGAGACGCGTGCCGCTCGCGTGGGCGCGAGTTCGAATCGACACGCACCCGGCGGATGTTTGCGCAAGATCGAAGCACAAGCGCAGATACGATCGATTGTATTGATATAATCATTCAAACGTTTATCACCTCTCTAATCTCCTTATCCAATTTTAAGTACAATGCCAACGAATAACATTGACAATAAATATTTAAAAAAATGTTCGCCTGAGCGTAAAGTGCGTAAAGATTGGGTACATTATTTTTTTCTTTGTTCTATAAATAAATTTGGAAAAATATTAATACTATAAAACATAACTTTGTTGCAATTGTCGATTAACAGCTGACGCTACTATTACAGTGTAAACTATTCCTAACACTATGTTCATACATTCATCTTAAGTGCAGAGATTAGCATTATAAAAATTTAAAAAGATGCACACAACCTAAAATGAGTCTGTGCATATTATTGAGGACATCAATTGAACAGATTTGAAAAATTATATCAAGAACATCGTAAGTTTCATTTCATTTCATTTTGTAGGAGATCAAATTGCGTGTGATAGTACATTTTGTTTATTTGATTGCACTTATTGATTAATTAAATATTTACTGAAAATAGCGGTAATGTACAAGTTACAAAAGTAAAGCAATAATAATTCAGTATCTTCGTTGACACTGGTGCGGGACTCGGGATCAGTCGCAGGCGTGGAGCCCTGGGCCGAGGCAGGCCGCGTACGCCATGAGGTGAGGCAGCTGGCTCTGCTCGTACAGCCCCGAGAACAGGGCGTGGTGGGGCCCGCGCGCGAACACCGCCACGTCGTCGCCGCCGTGGGTCTCGGCCTCGAGGGGCACGCCCGCCGGCGCCATGAACTCCACCCCGTCTGTGTTTCGCCGTCAAATGTGTTGCATGTGTATTTAAATTGGTAAATGATCAACACCGATTTTCTCAGGAGCGAGTTCTCAGAACGAGACCTAGCAAGTTGAAATTTATACCAGATACTGAGTCCTATAGTCTCTATTAGTCGTAAATAAATGAAGGTCTTAATTTTCTTTTTTTAATCCTTCCTTTTCCCTTTTTTGTACTGTATGACCTTGCTTTTTGCAAAATTTCGTAATTCTAGGTCAACGGGTACTACCGTATAGGTTTTCGAACCTAAACCTACAGGGGAACTCCATTTCACCTAGAATTATCAACTTTGGATGCGCCAAAAATCAAGAAGTTTGAGTAAATTTTGGTACTTAACAAGTTTTCCCGAAAATCTAAAAAATCATAAAAATGATAAAATAATCATGACTCACGGTAATCAGACTGCGTAACATCCTCACGGACGCCGTGTGAATCGTGTGGGCGGAAACCAGGGCCATTTGTGTACGACAAGGTCATATACGGCACCCCGTCAGCGCCGATGTCGTCCGAGGGACCAAGAATGTCACCGCCGCGATGAGTGTAACCGTTGAAAGCCATCACGTGCGCGTGGTCTGACGTAGTCACTATAAGCGAGTCTTCCTCCGACAACATTTCAGCAGCACGAGCCACTGCGGCGTGCAACTCTATGGTTTCATCCAGAGCAAGCTGGACCAAATTCTCATGGTGCGCGTGATCAATTCGTCCTCCTTCAACGAACAAGAAGAATCCTTTCTCGTTACGGCTCAAAGCCCTAATAGCAGCTTCTGTTAGTTCTGCGAGAGTTGGCTCCGTGCTCTCATTTGCAAGCATTTGGTACTGCATGTGATTACTTTCAAAGAGTCCCAGTAAATAGTCTGGCGGTGATTCAGTAGCAGCTAGAAGCTGATCTCGGTTCCATATATATTGGTAACTAACATTGCGGGTCGCTTTTTCAAGTTGCCATTGTTCGATTAAGTTGTTTCCGTCTGTTCTTCGACCTTTTGAGCCTTCTTCGTCAATGATTGTATCGGGTAAAAATTCACGCCTGCCGCCACCCAAAATTACCTTTTATGGAAATATAATTATCAATAATAATAAAAATCGGAAGTAATAAGCAAATTCCGGTAAAAGAAATCTTGCATCTATAGTCCGCAAAATTCCGAATATAAAAGGCGTATAAATTCCTTACTTTTGGTTCGTCAGTACACCTAAGGAATCATGTGAACAATGATTGAACTTTGTTTATCTTTGCTAATTTATCTTTTAAGCAAACTGTACACAACGAACAATTTAAATGAAATTCAATTTATCTTTTCATCAAGATCTTTTTGCCAAAATGGCTTAAGATTGAATGGCACGTTGAAAGATATACTAATTCAACTATGTGTCTTAACGTATTCCTAAGTGGAAAAGAGTACTCGCCTTGAATTGGTTGCCGGGGTACGCGTGAACTAGTTGCTGGGCGATATCTGGTTGGGAGTCTTCCCTGCAGTCCTTACGAGTGTCCGCGTCGCTCTCCCAGTCTCTCGCCGCCGTGTGGGCGTAGGTGCCCGCTGGTGACGCGTGGGTCACCCGCGTTGTGGTCACGAAACCTGCACCATAGGTCTCGTATACAAACGTTATATCCGTATATCAACATATTTTAGGGAATGATTGTCAATAACTGCGATGATGTGAATTACTTAAAAATTAGGACATATTACTCCGAGACTACCACCACTCAGTGAGATTTAAATTGAGTTGAGTTAAAAATGAATGTATCTAATGGACTTTGCACATGATTGTAATTGCATTTGTTGATAATGAGATTACCAGCGTCCCTGCCATCTTGCAATGCCCACGCAGCGATCGATTGCAGTTGGTGGTCGTGTTCGGTGGCGGCGAGGCATTGACCACGTGGTACGGCCGCCGTCACACCAATGGTACCACGGTTCGCCTTCACGCCGCACAGGTACGCCGTCGCTGTGCAAGCTGAGTCCGCGATTTGCGCATCCACACAGTACGTCTGCGGTGTCATTTTAAAATAAAATATACGTAACTACTGCACTGCAATGTTTTGCTTGTGTAGTAATTAGCCACCCCTTCTAATTACGCGGTTGTCGTAAGAGATGATTAAGAGATATGCCATAAACATCTAGTGGTCTACTATAAAGGGCGGGATAACTATCTCGACTTTCCAGAACCTAAATACTCAGCCCAACAACGAGAATTAAGTGCCGTCACCCAAAGACCCCTACAGCTAGGGTCGTTCCGCCGCAATTGGCTTATACCCACCACACATTTTAAATTCCCCTGATGAGACGATCATCGCCATCGACAGGATAAAGCAACTTCGGAAACACACAAGAACACACCGCACTGACCGGCGAGTGCGACAAAGCTAATCTTGGTTCCGCCAAGTACCTGGCAGGTTTTCCCCATTAATGATAGAAGCATTGCTGCAGTTTCTTCAGCCACTTCTTCTCCCAGCGCCAACGCTTTCTGAAGTGGTAGTAACGATAGCTTTGGAAACCGATAGATAGTCAGACAGCTACGGATCGAGCAAATGCTTAACGACTACTGAGTAACAGCCCAAGCTGAGGTCCCCTCTCGGGGGCTCTTTAACCTAGTTAATTCATGGAGCGTCCGGCGAAGCACCCTAAGAGCTTGGCGGCCTCCCAAACCGGTAGTAATAATAATAGCATGACGGCCCAAGTCGAGGCTCCCTCTGGAGTCCTCGAACTTATTTACTTAAAAATTGACCCCATAGAAAGGGTCTTTTTTGTTAACGTGCGAGAAATGCCTACGCATACTTGATGGAGCAAGGACGCGTTATGTCGGACTCGCGACGACTAAGATCCCCACGATGTTCCACCTAGGCGCATATCGGCAGGACCACGGAAACGCTTTCGCACACTTCCGCGACTCTATCAGGGCTAACTGCCTCAGCAGCCCCTTCTCGGGGAACAAATCCTCTCTCCCCCATGTAAGGCACGATTAGCCACAGGGCTACAGAGTCCCGGGTTCATAGAATAGGACTACGGTATCCCCAGCCTGTCGTAAAAGGCGACTAAAAGGGGACACGGATTGGCAGCAGCTCGAAGTGGCCTCGGGCTGCTGCAAGATGATGAGCGAATCAGGGTAAGTTTACCCTTCTCCAAGGCATGCTCACGCCCACTACCGAGGGTCACCGGTGCGTTTCATAGGAGACTGTAGCGCGCATGCTAGTCAACTCGACCGCTACAACGATCCTTTTTTACGACGGAGTGCTGTCGACGTCCACGGCGAAGCTACTATTGTCTATCGAATTTCACGATGTAGTTACTGTTGCACGAATCAACATCTTCTAACACACAGTAGCTCCATCCACTGGGTGATGCGACAGTATGGCGGCTGGTGCATCTATTGTATTAGCTAATTATTGCATGATGGCCGAGCACGAGCATTTTGTTTTTAGTTAAGCGGCCATCTTAATTTAGCTCCCACTGTGCGCACCCATTCTCAAATGGGAGTCAAAATTGTACTTAACTAGCTGCTCACCGCGACTACGTCTGCGTAGAATAAGCTGAAGGTGTAACATTAAGACAAGGAGATAGACTGCATTAAAATTGTGTATAAATTATAGCCTAAGTCTTGTTCTGATGTGCAAGCTATATTATTGTAAAGTTTATTAAAATCCGTTCAATAATATTTGCGTGACATCTATCCATACATACAAACTTGCGCCTTTGTAATATTAGTAAGGATTACTTTTTTAGTATAAATAGCTCGCATCATGCATAATGTAATTACTCATACTCTCTCTCCTTACCTGTGTTTGACTCGTTAATGTATTGTAACTATCTTCCGCTAATTTAATCAGTTTGCTTTGAAGGTTCGAGTGTTATTTATTGGAAACATAGACCAAGTAATAGTCCTCAATTAGTCTATGTTAGTAAGTGGAACAGGACAACTTAAATATACACAGCATCCACTTCAGAGACTAGTCTACCGCTAACAAGCGGTAGTTCCTAGAAACCAGCGGCGGACCTGATATGTGGTTCCAGTTTTAAAATGTTTTTGTTACTTAAAAATTTTCTGTTTTTGTTACTTTAAAATTTTCTGTTTCAGTTATGAAAAGAATGGATAGTAACAGCAGCAGACTGTGCGAAACGTACTTTTGCCAGACCGACAGTGGGGAAGGTCTCGAAAGAGAGCCGCGACTCCTCGCCCGAACGGTTGCTGCGTTGGCCGAGGAGGGTGCGAGCCGCGGCCAGCGTGGGCACTGACATGCCGTCGCCGAGGAACATCACCACGTTGCGGGCAACACCGCCTGCGATTCAGATGCATATCTATAAGAGATATGTAGCCTCAAAAAGTAAACATGGCAATAGTTAACAATGAAATAATTTATGTCCGCCTAACAGACGATACCCATCCATACCTCTAACGTGGGACCTTAAAGCACTTTTATTTCCTTTAGTAATTTGTTGAATTCACTGATACTTTTGCATTAGTCTGTGAAGAAAGGTAGCTCAACTGGATAATATAATAGTAAGGTAACATTCATTAAACGGTTATACGGTGGAAAAAACGTAGTTTCAAAACGTATAAATATTATTGTTCACATTAAAAAATCATTATATCTCCAAATGTGTTTCACTAAGTAAAACTCTTTAAAGATTGAAACAAAAATCATCTGAAATTGTTATGTACATTTTTTACACACTATTCAATATTTATTGTCAATTAAATAAAAATAAAACTAACATAATTATTTTTTTTTTTATCAACAAACATTCTAAGAGATCATAAGCTTTAGGGCAAAGTATATGTATTTATAAAATTCACAACTATAAATATTATTTACCTCCGCTTCGCAAACGTGTAAGCCGTGCCCTGATGCCCGCCTGCGCCTCGTCCATCCAATATTTGGCAGTTTGTTCCTCGGCATTGGCAAGCGGAATTTCTGGCTCCCTATCGGTCTGTCTACCCCTTACGAATCTATGATACTCGTCGTACCCTTAAAATGTTTAATGTTTTATATAAAAATACAAGCAGTCACCTCTTTATTCAATACTTCATTTCAAATTTTCAAGTTACCTCGTTCTATGGGGACACGACAGTGAAAATAAATCTTATGATTCAATAAAAACTAAACTTTTTTGCATTATCGAAAATTTTGTTACAACATAGTTTAACATTAAAGATTAAAGTTTACATCATCTGTTTTAAAAGAATCTTATGAAAATATCATTACCTCCTTCGAAACATATGTACAAATATCACACTTCGGATAGTTATATTCTATAATAAAATAAAACGTTTGCAATACTCACCTAAACTCGAATGTGTGAGGGTTAGGAAAACAGTTACAAGTAACAGTTTTTGTATTTTTTCAAGTGACATTTTTAACCAACATACAGACTCACTACTTACAAAAAGTGGTCTCACAGCAATGACAGCGTTTGCTTTTTTTACTTCTCCTCAAACGTTACATTATCACCTGTCAATCTGTCATCTGCAAACCCGATAATAAATAATATGAATATTGTATTATCGATTGTATTTCCTTAATAGTAGACATGTACTTCAGGGTAAAACACATTGTAATAAAACCTTCATCAATTTATAAAACATTGATTTGACAAATTTATTGTAAGCCCTTTTTAAAGAATAGAAATATTTACAACAACAAAAAAAAAATTGAATAAAGTTATAACATTTTAATCCTAAACAGTGCAATATCGCAACAGGCACATGCGACAACGCTCTTAGTCAAGATTGTACATAGCTTATTATATACTTAGCTGTCAACGTCACGGCAAATCACCTACGATATAAGTGAAGAGTAATTCTCTCAAACCGTTTACCATTTCTTCAGTCTGCAGACTATCGAAGTTTTTCACCTCTATATTGTCTTTTTTTTATTTCGGAACGTTCCGAGTCTAACTAATAATTTATTACTTTGTGTTTGAAATAAATAACAAGCAAACGGAATCAAAACCTGGATGGTACTCTTAGGGCTTTTTACCAAAATTAGCAATTTCAAATCAACAAACATCGGAAAGCAATAAGATAAAGAAAAGAATAAGAAAGAAAGCAATAAGAATAAGACTAAAAACAAATATTATCTTAGATAATGATAAAGATTCGCAGAAGCAATCTTGAGCCTTGACTTTGTATTTCTTACCCGTAAGCTCGTATAGGTTTTAACCAAAATGTTAACAATTTCACTTGAGCTGGTATTCCTATGCTTGCACTCCATCACGATAAACATTTGACATCAGTCCTAGAAGGGGTCGCAAGACATGGGTGGACTGTGGGAGGGTGGATTGCACTTACACTCGATTTATGTCCCTCTACCCGAGATTCGCCGCAATCGCCAACTAATAGTTTTCACAGGACATTTAACTGTAGTGAATCTCAAGGAAGGGGGTAATCTTACGCCATCAATCAAGAGAACCGTGGTGATGATACTTTTTTTAATGGGCCAATATAATCGAATGTGTGTATTCTTGACAAATGCTACTACAATTATCAAGATCCTTACTACTTTATTTATTTAGTGTGAATATGAATAAAACCTCAATACCTAGGAAACCTCCCAAGTTTTTTTTAGTGTTAGGAAGTGGCAAGTGACCTGGCGGTTCACCTGATGTATAGTGATAACCACTACTCATGAACACCAGTAAGGTTGCAGACGCGTTACCATCTTTTAACAAAATGGGCCCCAACTGCCGCACTCACCAGACGAAACGCAGAAGAACGTATGCGCGCATATCTACATAAGTCACTAGACTTAGGTAGGGGCTATTAAAAAAGTAAAAATGTATCAGCCTATACATGTCCCACTGCTGGGCAAAGGCCTCCTCTATACAGAGGGTATCAGGGCATAGGCAGGGGCTATTAAGCCCTCTATAATTTAATCTTTCCACTCGTGCTCTATAAAACTTTATATAATGGTACGGCGTGCTTAGCATAGTACTCTGTACTTGAAAACGGCGGACCGTCATCCGTTACGATCTGCTTAGGTAGTCCCCAACGACTAAAAAGCTCCCTTAACTTATCGATTACTCCTGTGGCTGTCGTACTCGATACTTGATATATCTCAAGCCATTTTGACGTCACAATGACTACTACTAAATACGTCATTCCAAAAATGGGCCCCATAAAATCTAATGGAAGCCTGGACCAGGGCGAATGGGCCATTGCCACAAACGAGGCGATTGCTTTGGCGGAGCATCGGCCTAAACCGTGCATATCTCGCACTCCCGGCAAATACGCTCCACCACCTCGTCTACACCGGCCCACCACACATAGCTGCGGGCTTTGATTTGACAATCCCCATATTGGGTTCGTGAATCATCAGTAGTGGGCTAATACTTTCGCGCTAACTAATAACGTTTTCACTTCTGTAAATGTCAGCTCACATTCCTTCGACCAAAATCGACCTTTCTGTAATAACTGGTATAATGGTTAAACTCATATTTTTAACGAATTATGCATAAAAATTTACCAAACCTAAAAATGATCTTAATTCGGTTACGTTACAAGGCCTAGGTAGTTTAGAAATTGCTTCTATTTTCTTCGGGTCTGTTTTTACTCCGTCCTTACATACCCCAAAAACGGCACTTCGTTTACGAGGAATACACATTTATGACTTTCTGTTCTTACAGCTTGTATCTGTTCCAATTTACTCTTCCCGCCTATTATGACATCATCCAAAAATACCTCAACATTTGGAACGTCTTTTAATAAATTAAACATAATGCGCTGAAATATACCGCCACTCGATGATAATCCGTATACTAACCTATTGTATTAAAATAACCCGCGGTGTGTATTTACTACCGTAAACTTTTTTGTATTGTCTAACTCTATCTGGTTATAGGCTTGAGACAGATCAATCTTCGAAAAATATTTCGACCCACTCAATCTCACAATTAAGTCCTCAATTCTGGGTAAAAGGTAGCGAACAACTAACAAAACCGGTTTTATCGTGGATTTATAGTCAGCACAAATTCTCAACGAACCATCGGCTTTATTTACCAGTACCATCGGCGAAGCCCAATCGGAGCAGTCAACTGGCTCGACGACGGCGCAGCATCGCATCGAGCTCGGAGTCAACGCGTTCGCGCAGCGCGTACAGTATAGGTCTCGCGCGATGAAACACCGGCGCCGCCCCCTTGCGGACTCTTAACGTCGCCTTGCCTCCCGTGTACCGTCCCAGCCCTCCATTAAATAATTCTTTATATCTGGAAAACAATTGTTTTAATTAATCTTCTAATTTACATTCGTTGCTCCCTAAGTTATGACAATTGGTGAACAATGGTAACTTTATCTTTAAATCTGATAACCACTGTCCACCTAACAGAGAAGTAGTCCCTCCTCTTACCACAAACAACCCTAATCTTTTATTTTTTCCACTGTAACAAACTTCCGGTGTTATTACGAGGAACCGTCGTAGAACTTTAAATTAACATTTGTGTTACCCAACTTAATGTTCTTGAAATATCGTTCATAAGTTTGTTCACTTATGCACGATACGGCCGTTTCCGTATCAACCTCCGTATCGATAATTTCATTTTCGATTGACACTGGCAAACTTAGCGCCTTATAGTCACTTAAACATAGGTGATGAAACTTCTCAATATGTTCTCCGTCTTCATCACCGCTGAACTCATGCTCTGCCTCCACGTGATGCAAAGTGATATTCCTGGCTTTACGAACTCTCGCCTTGCCTTGTCCCGGGCACACGCGCCGTAGGTGACCCGTGCTCTTGCACCTGCTACACACGTAGTCTCGGAACCGACAAGCCTCATAGTTGTGGCCAGTTCCTCCACATCCGCTACAGTTATAACTACGAATGGCATTGGTGCTCCGGGCAGCTGCAACTAATACCGGCCGACTACTTCGCAGCTGGCGGTTTCCGCGAAGTGCGCTCCCTGCGTGTCCGCTTCCCACCATCGCCATTCTCTGTCACCAGACATTTCCGATTCCCAGCGAGTGTACCCCCGCTCTGTCTTCGGTTTTTGTTGATCCGCTCGCATCCACCGCCGCTGCGTCCCGCTCCGCGGCCTCAAACGAGCTAGCTATTTTTACTGTATTGGTGAAACTTAATGTGTCGTATTCCGCAAACAACCTCTGCCGGATACCATCGTTCCTTAGTCCGCAAACAAACTGATCCCGTAGATTTTCATTAAGGGTGACGCCCAGCTTACAGTGACGTGTTAACCTTTTCAACTCTGCCACGTAATCTGCAATATTTTTGCTTGCATTTGTATCTGTAACTGTTTATTCACCAATAACAAAACATCTATGTCCACTTTATTTAATATAACAATATATATATATATACTAGCGGCCCGCCCCGGCTTCGCACGGGTATTTAACAAAATTTTTAAAACTAAAAATTATCATACACATAAAACATTCCGAATATTTCGTCTTTGGTGAATAATTTTATGAATTTCTTCATCTTTTAATGAAATACCCTTGAAATTACGTCATGAAGATCGAAAGACCGCTGACCAGATAATGGTTCCGCTTTAATTACGGGACATTCGGGGTTACACGTGTAAAAGTGACAAATAAGTCTGGTCTCCCATAGCTTCGGACATAAATCATCCATCTTTGGTTTGTTGACCGATATTTGAGCCAATGGCCTAAAGATGGCAACTTATTTGCAACCCTACAGGTGTTATAAATGTCCATCTGCGGCGGTTATTACTTAACATCAGGTGAACCGCCAGCTCGTTTGCCACTCTATCACATTAAAAAAAACATGTTTTATTATCTTTATTCAATATAGAAGTATTACACTTACATATTGTCAAAAACACTACTACTGTCAACATTACCTATAAAAACGGCCAAAAATTATGTCTGTTTTATGGGAGCCCCACTTATTTATATTTTTTTGTTTTTTTGATATTTTTTGTTATAGCGGCAATAGAAATTCATCGTTTGTGAAAATTTCAACTGTCTAACTATCACGATTCATGAGATACAGCCTGGTGACATATGGACAGACATACGGACATACAGACGGACATCGGAGTCTTAGTAATAGGGTGCCGTTTTACCCTTTGGGTACGGAACCCTGATAAGTCCCAGTAATAATGCAATGGCTTAAAATAGGAAGCTTTAACCATTAACCTAAATGCATACCAATGCATAACAAACATCGATCCCAAAGTATACAATTGCATGCATGTCATAGTTTTGTTACGCACAGTACCTTGCTGAGGAATAGTCAAATATTAACCGTCTTCTCCTATTACGACTATTAAGGGATATTTTTATGGATCATACAATCGGTGTAACTCAGAGACCCTTTTAAGTTGGCCGTGTCTACCGTGCACACTATATCTCTGGAGCCTTTTTAGGATGCCGTACCCAAAGGGAAAAACGGGACCCTATTACTAAGACTCCGCTGTCTGTTTGTCCCTTTGTCAACAGGCTGTATCTCATGAACCATGATAGTTACACAGTTGAAATTTGATCTGGGTATTTGTTTCCCAAGGAGGGTTGACGTCAAGCAGGCGGCTGGATGTAAAAATATAGGCAAAACCACTTACAACATGATTCATGTTGTGCCGACCCCACCTAGGTGGGATAGGGGCAGTAGGATGATAATAACTTGTATACTTGTCCCTCTATTTTAAAAGCTCTCGTCAAACGAAGTCATTTGAAATAGGCTATTGTACTTTGGGATGTTGGTTAAAAATGTCCTGATGGTGAATGATTATTTGTAAAAAGATTTTTTATTGGTTGTGGCGGCTCCTCAGTATTGGGGAGACTACCTATTGTAGAAGCACAGCACATACCATTTGGTTCATCAACACATTTTTGGCAGAACACTTGAGCAGATCTTATTCGTGGCTACGATTTGGACGGAAGACTGTTGAGCAAAATGCATGAAAGCTGATCTGTTACTGTGAGCTAAAACTCGATCACGAACTCTAGTCGTTGACGTTTGTTATCTTTCTCTCTAATATCGTATACGTTGGGAACGCTCAGACCTCGATTCCCTAGTGTGAATTTGTATATTTATATTATTATACTCTTCAAGCCAATGCAAACACTCTATTTGACTCTCTCCGACTTGTAAGACAATATTCAGTTTCCGGTAAAGATTCCTCATTATGACGTATTTTTAATGTCCTCGCCTGGGAACTATTTCTAGAAAGATGAGATCTTGATCTTTTGGGCATTTTAAAATGATAAAAAAATTAAACTTCCTCAGTATTTAATAATCTGCTAACTGTTGAACAGGAATTTCCCCTATAAATGTGATTGAAAACTTATAAGAACTACTAAGTCAGTCACTAAGCTGTTTGGATAGTTAAATTACAATATACTAACATTTTTAAACTTGCAATATCTAAGGAATGGAATGTCCGAATTTAATAATTCAAAAAGTTTTATAAAGATATTGAAACAGTCTTAAATATGAAGTAATTTATTTTTATAAGGATTAATACCGAGATAAAAATAAACAGCCTTTGTTAGCAGCGGCATTTCAATCAAGATTTTAAAATAAAAGAACACTTATTGTGGCATAACTATAATAGTTAGACATATGCTGTCGCGACACTTTTTGTAAATAATGATGTGGTCTGCAAAGTACTACATTACTTTATTCTATCAACAATAGTTTTCGCAGCGCACGCGATGTAAAGAATATTTTAGGTAATTTTTGTACACCTTGAGTAACATTATCGGAGTTTTAGTAAGGATCCCTAATTTTTTGAAAATATTACATAGCCTATGTCAAGCACGGATAATGTAGCTTCTCAACAGTGAAAGAATTTTTCAAATCGGTTAAGTAGTTTCGGAGCCTATTCGATACATACAAAAAATCAAATCTTTCCTCTTTATATAATAGAGAAGATAATAAAACATTTACATTAATTTCTCAAAGGACAAGAAAATAAATAACTAAACCGTATAACTACTACATTAACTTTTTTTTTTCATTTCGTCCAAAATTTAGTCATGTACCGTGACATAAAACAGTCAGCTAAAGTATAAACATTTGTGATAAAACTTTGACGACATACACACAATAAATATGATATTATATGATATATTTTTAGATATTAATTCGATAAGATAGTATCAATTAAAGAAACTTGGAAACGCGAAGTAGGAATGTGCATTGTTCCTTGCGTCTTTCACCATGTGCTACTTCACTGCGTTATTTTGGAACGCAATATGTTTATGCTTGGCTTTCGGAGTCAGTGGTCGATACCACCCAGAGAAAAGAGGCTTAAGCCCTCCTCAAATGGAACGCGTTGTCGCAAATCCAAGTCCTTCAGAATATACTGCACAGCACTGGATCGACGAGGCGCAGGCAGGCATCAGAGCCCGCCGTGACCACATGCGCGGAGGGGACAAGAGAGCCCGCAACGTGGTCATGTTCCTCGGCGACGGCATGTCGGTGCCAACGCTAGCAGCGGCGCGCACCCTCTTAGGACAACGTACAAATCGACCCGGTGAGGAGTCACAGCTCTCGTTTGAAGCCTTTCCAAGCGTCGGGCTAACCAAGGTTCTTTTTTTTCCTATCGATTCTTATCGTCTATTGACTTACATTTTTATGCCCGTATTTAATAATGACACTTTGTTTTCTTTTAAGACATATTGCGTTAACGGCCAAATTGCGGACTCTTCATGCACAGCGACGGCTTACTTATGTGGCGTAAAGGCTAATCGTGGCACAATAGGCTTATCGGCCGCTGTGCCACGGTACAATTGTTCAGCGTCTCTCGACAACTCCGCGCGACTTGATTCCATAGCTGCATGGGCTCTAGCCGATGGGCGTGATGCAGGTATTTCTTCGCTATCTTTGTAACAACTAGAGTTGTGGTCATTTATTCAATTATTTCATTTTGTTAAGGTGTCGTTACAACAACACGTATCACACACGCTTCGCCTGCTGGAGCATTTGCTAAAGTAGCGAATCGTCATTGGGAAAACGATGCAGAAGTAAAAGCAAATAATGAAGATCCTAATATATGTCCTGACATAGCCTATCAGTTAGTTCATTCTGACCCTGGAAAACAGTTTAAGGTAAGGATTTAGTCTCGGCATTTACATCAATTGACCTCACTGTATATGTAGTAAAAGGATAATTATATTTGACAGGTAATATTAGGCGGGGGTCGACGGGAATTTATTCCCGTTTCTAGTATAGATGAAGAAGGTACTTATGGAAGGAGAACGGATGGTCGTAACTTAATTAAAGAATGGGAAGAAGACAAAAGTTATCGCAACGTAAGCTACCAATATGTTTGGAACAGAGATCAACTGCTGAGTTCCACTGAATTCATGCCAGACTATCTTTTAGGCTTATTTGAAGGTAACCACTTACAGTATCACTTAGAATCTGATACCCGCACTGAGCCCACACTCGCAGAGCTCACGGAAGTTGCAATTCGTTCATTAAGCCGCAACGAGAAGGGATTTTTCCTTTTTGTGGAGGGAGGTCGCATTGACCATGCTCACCACGATAACCAAGTGGAGTTGGCGTTGGACGAGACGATAGAGTTCAGCGCCGCTGTCGCCCGTGCCACTGAACTCTTGTCGGACGATGACTCGCTGATCGTGGTGACTGCTGACCATGCCCACGTCATGACCTTTAACGGTTACACGCGGCGGGGCGGTGACATCCTCGGCCCATCAGACGACCGCGATGAGTCCGGCGTTCCCTATATGACGCTCTCCTACAGCAACGGTCCCGGATTCCGGCCGCACGTCAATAATACACGTGTCGACGTAACTCGCGAATCTAATTACAGTAAGTAAAGGCTGACCAACCATTCGCTTTTATACCCGACCTCATTAATATATTTCTCCGTGTCCTTTCCTAGGTCTAAGTCTGCTAGTATAATATAGAGAAGTTGGCCGTCCTTAGAGATTCGAATCAATGTCAAATGACCCCCGACACCCGTGCCAATACCTTGGCCACTGCGCAGCGGAGTCATCATTTAGGCAGCGTATCCATTGGGATTACAATGATTACAATTAATCTAATACAATCAATTAATAATACTAGATTACAATTAATCCTCGCACTTTCCAGGGCAATTGGAGTGGATGAGCCACGTGGATGTTCCCCTGGAGTCCGAGACTCACGGTGGCGACGACGTGGCGGTGTTCGCGAGTGGACCACATCACCAAATGTTTTCGGGATTGTACGAGCAGAGCCAGTTGCCTCATCTCATGGCATACGCTGCTTGTATAGGCCCAGGGCAGCATGCCTGCAATGTGGCAGTGCATCACGTCTTAGCCAAGCCACTTATGGTTGCTTTTACTCTCTTCTATTTTTTAAAGCTATTCAGGGTATCAGTTTTACAGTAATCGCCTATAACATAGTAATGATAAGATTTGGAATGTTTACCAACTTCCTATGTCCATAATAAGTTTTACGTCTTTCTAAGAAACATTTCGGTACTATTTAGACAAACTTAGATTTTTGTTTATGAACTTTTTCTATTATACAACAATTCGTCTTATTTTTGCTAATGTTACACATTTTAATAAAAGTTATTACAATTTATTTTAACATTTCAGAACAGTTCCCAAAGTATTCGTAATTTCCTCTTTAAAATCAAAGTAAACTACGATAACACCCATAATAAAATTATATAAAAATTACTCTATTCATTACATCTAGATATTTACAGATTACGTATCTGTTCTAAAATAAAACTTAGCGTGAAAGCCATATTAATGATCTGAACTGTGTAGGAATGTAGGCGTCAAACAGAGTGATAATTCGTTAATTAAATGAAAATGCAAAAATTTATCATATCATTATTTCATAACAAATTAAAATAATAATTATTAGAAAATCATTGCTTGCTCATTTTCTTGATGTTACTGTGGACATATAATTTTATTATCGTATAATTTGTATCTAAAGAAAGCCTTCTTACTAGCAAAAAGCTGAGCTTTGTGAGGGCTCGCGTAGTTTATCTAACGGGTAATAATGTTTAAAACAGTTTTTTTTAATTATTATTATTGATATAGGCCGAAGCCCATATCATATTTATCGAATTAAATAATTTATACGACTAATCATTGTAGATATTTTTTTATTTATCAAACATTTTTTAGTACTTATATTAATTCTGTGACATTAGGTTTCTCATGCCGATTTCTTTCTGCTTCCTACATTTTAACATATATGAATTTTCAATATTATTTAATCTATCAAAGGGAAATCGTTTATATAATGCTGATCCTTCAAGTGTTTTTACTCTTGAAAATGCCACGTATTCAAGCCCAATAGTTGTTTCCTTTTCCCCAATATCTATAACACCTTTATATAACGTTAAGCCTTGTGACTTGTGAACTGTAATAGCGAAAGCTGATTGCAATTCCCATTGCAATCAGCTTTCGCTAACTTCGCTTTCTGGAACAATTTCAATTCTTGATGAAAATGGCTGATTTAACAAGTATATTCAAATTGACCACTTTTAAGTCGATATACTTTTTTTTGTTAACGTGGTGTAAATGCCGTAGCATACTCGCCCTCGTGGGGGCAAGAGCGGGTTATGTGCGGGTATTAAAAACCCCATGATGTTTCACCTAGGCGCATATCGGCAGGGCCACGGGAACGCTTTGGTACACTTACGCGACTCTGTCAGCACTGGCTGCCTTAGCAGCCCCTTCTCGGTATACAAATTCCGTCTCATCCAAGTAAGGCGCGCTGGAACATTCAGCGCGCCTTCTTACTCGGCTGCCAGGTGACTCAGTGCCAATAAGCAGCAAGCCTCCCAGCCTCCAGCGGCGGACCTGGTCTGTGGCTCCACATCCAGATTGGTCTGAATGGCCTTGCACCACAGGCTGGCTCAGCGTGGTTTCCAGTTAGCTTCGCGCTGGGTGACCAAGCCACGGCTACTAAGCCCCTCCGCCACGGCAAGGCGGAAACTTGGTCGAAGGGGTTTAAATTGATATACTATAATAACCTGGTGACCTTGAGCTATTAATTGTTCTTCAAGAAATGTTAACTTTTTTCATCAAAACATCAGATTGAGGTCCAGGATCGGAATTTTATACAATATAGAGAACACAGAATACAGATAGAAAATATGTTTAACTAATTTTTTATTTGGAATTTATGACAGAGAGATGACATAAATTGCACCGATTCAAAATTATTTGCGTCTCGTTCTCCTGGTGGTCTATATAATTTTGTATGTACGATATATATACTATATACTTGTATAGACAACCAAGTGTCGACAAAACTGTATTTTTCTTAATTGTGTATTAAATAAAAGTGTGGAAACCATTTATGTATTTTCTTTTATGTATTTACATGACGTCTACAACATTGTACATTTATACCTCTAGATTTTAGATATTTTATTAATTATGACATTTTTTAAGCAACTCGTTATTTCCGCGACCCTGTTTATTTATAAACTATGTTTTGACAACGTCGAACAATAATAATATTTCAATAACTTTGATAATCATCTGACTAAACATTCTTTACAAAGATGTTCTTTATGTTCATATTTTTTTATGTAAAAAGTTGGGACATGAACAGATGGTTCACCTGATGTTAAGTGATTACCGCCGTCCTTGGACATCTATAATACTTGAGGAAATGCAGATGCGTTGCCAACTTTTAATAAAGGAGGCCTTGGTTAACTCATCCACTGGATAAAACGCAATTCATGCCGTACATCTGTGAGGTCGTGGTACCTCCCCGGACGAGCCTGCCCATTCGTGCAACAGAAAATATCGCCGCCCTGCCACCAGAAAATTTTGAGTTATCACAAAATTATATTGGATATGTTTGTTACGCAAATTTTAAAATTATGAACATTTTTAACACTCGTTACAGATCTTATGGATATTTTAATATTTAAGTATTATCTTTTAATTAATCTTTTTACAATTCATATATGTTCGATAAGATTAGATTGAGCTAGAATCGATGCTAATAAAAGAGCTAAGAAGATACGGAATGGGAAAGTCGTAGCGATGCGGTTGTTACATTTATTGCTTACCTGCCTATTGAGTCTGTCGGTGGAGTCCGCTTTTGCGGATCACTACCATCCGGAGCGGGAAAGCGTCCCGAGTTCTAGACGAGCCACGGCCGACGGTGCCGAGCTCACGGCCAAGTACTGGTACGATGAGGCCGAAGCGGGCATCAGGGCGAGGCGGGCGCGGCTGCGCCAAGGGAAGGACGCCGTGGCGCGCAACGTAGTGATGTTCCTCGGCGATGGCATGTCGGTGCCCACGCTGGCCGCCGCGCGCATTCTCCTCGGCCAGCGCAACAACCGCCCCGGCGAAGAGGAACACCTCTCTTTTGAATCTTTCCCCACCGTCGGGCTCACTAAGGTTATTATCATTTCCTTTTCCTACGGCCACACGTAGCAGCACCATTCTTGTAGACAAAAAAAATTATGTTGTATATTTGCAAAGGAGTTTATGTATTAATATTTTAGACGTACTGCGTGAATTCTCAAATAGCGGACTCAGCTTGTACGGCTACTGCGTATTTGTGCGGAGTGAAAAACAACAATGGAATGCTCGGATTGACAGCCGCTGTACCGCGCAGGAACTGCACAGCTTCGCTGGACACCGCCACTAATGTCGAATCTATTGCTGCATGGGCCCTACAAGACGGTCGCGACGCAGGTTTTAAATTATCTATACTCTCTACTCGCTTTGACGGTTACACGTCATTGAATTTATTTCTAACACTTTTGTTAACCGAACTTTAAGTAGAATTATGTACATCTGTGCTCTTATAGTGAATTTTGTTGATGGATACCACATTTTTATGCAGGTATCGTGACAACAACGCGCGTGACCCATGCTTCACCAGCTGGAGTCTATGCCAAAGCAGCTAACAGAAACTGGGAGAACGATGCTAGGGTCAGAGAAGATAACCAAGATCCTAATAATTGTCCTGATATTGCATATCAACTCGTGCATTCATCGCCGGGTAAACATTTTAAGGTAAATATTTGAAGCTTACCATTATTTATTTACATACGTTTTCCATGCTGTTGAATAATATTCAAAAATAATGTAGGTTATTTTAGGCGGAGGAAGAAGAGAATTCTTACCAACAAATATGGTTGATGAGGAAGGAACCGCAGGTCGGCGAACTGATGGACGCAATTTAATAGAGGAGTGGCAGAGTGACAAACTTACACGAAACGTCTCTCATCAATATGTATGGAACCGAGATCAATTAATGAGTGCAGCAGACTCTCTGCCAGAGTATCTATTAGGATTATTTGAAGGAAGCCACATGCAATATAACCTAGAAGCTGATACCCGCACTGAGCCCACACTCGCAGAGCTCACGGAAGTTGCAATTCGTTCATTAAGCCGCAACGAGAAGGGATTTTTCCTTTTCGTGGAGGGAGGTCGCATTGACCATGCTCACCACGATAACCAAGTGGAGCTGGTGTTGGACGAGACGATAGAGTTCAGCGCCGCTGTCGCCCGTGCCACTGAACTCTTGTCGGACGATGACTCGCTGATCGTGGTGACTGCTGACCATGCCCACGTCATGACCTTTAACGGTTACACGCGGCGGGGCGGTGACATCCTCGGCCCATCAGACGACCGCGATGAGTCCGGCGTTCCCTATATGACGCTCTCCTACAGCAACGGTCCCGGATTCCGGCCGCACCTCAATAATACACGTGTCGACGTAACTCGCGAATCTAATTACAGTAAGTTTTGACTGACCAATCACTGCTTTTATACCCGAGCACACTAATACATTTATCCTTCATGGCGAAAATATAAGGCTTCTATTATAATTTTAATTTTTATAGTATTAATCTTTGCACTTAAGAATAAGCATTAAAATTTGTAGAAAAAGAGCCGAAAAGTTTCTCTCTGCTATTGGAATCGAACCCACGTCTTCGGGATTCACGTGCTGATGCTCTAGCCACTAAGCGGCTGATTGCCACACGACGAAATTCTCAACGTCCTTTATAGACATTCTTTTTTTTTTTGCATTTGAAGCAATGCTTGGAGAGATTGTAGAGAAGTTTGCCCTCCATTATATTCCTTTGGAGATTCCAATCAATAGCTTGTTTAGTATGACTTATAGTTTTAGACTATGTACGTGTGCATTTCTGTCGTGAGGTATTTTAGTACTTACATCTTTTACATCTTTTACATCTTCGCACTTTCCAGGGCAATTGGATTGGATGAGCCACGTGGATGTACCCCTGGAGTCCGAGACTCACGGTGGCGACGACGTGGCGGTGTTCGCGAGTGGACCACATCACCAAATGTTTTCCGGACTGTACGAGCAGAGCCAGCTGCCTCACCTAATGGCATACGCGGCCTGTATCGGTCCAGGATTGCAAGCTTGTAACGCGGCAATCCATCACGCCATAGGCACACCGTTAATGTTGTCAGTTATTTTCTTATGTATGTTGAGGCTATTAAGAGAATGATAAAAATCTAGAAAATAAAAGAAAAAGGCTTGCAGCCTGTATTTGTGAAGTACGATTAGCTGCTCGCATTATTAATTTAACATAATAAGAATTACCTATTCGTGGAGTGATAAATCACTATTTATCACTCATTCATCATTATATTACGTTGTCGTACAGTTGTCGTTATGCCTGATTTTGGAAAGCTGGTCTAGTCATAAATAATTATTATAGAGGGAATCCAATAAGCATTTTTATTTTGTCTTTTTTTTTCTGATATATACTTGACGTATGACCGTTGGCCGTGGTCATTTACTATTACATTAAAATGGAGGTTTCTGTAAGGTTCCTCACCAGCGAAAGGCGAAAATGTAATATTTCCGTTTCTTGGACGAGCTACTGCAGGCCGTTATAAACATAAAATGTTATTTAATTATTTATGGCTGTTATGTTTTTAAAAACTGTCTAGTCCTAGACACTATGCGATAAGAAGCAGTGACACAAGTGCTAAAGCTTAATTAAAATCTGTTCACTTTCACTTTTTATAAATACTTGTGTTGTAATTGGACGACAAAACTAATCTACGGCAATTGTTTCACACCATAAATAAAATATGATTTATTATTTACTTATCGCTTGGCAAATTTGTTACACGCTGTTATGAATGTTCAAATGTATGCTTAAGGTGATTGTACTTTCTTATAAATTCATTGGTAAAACATCTTTAAACAATATCCGTAAGAAGCAGCTTCGAATTTCATAGCCCCAAAAGTTTTTCATCGACCATTTGTAAAAATTTTAAGTTTCATGTTAAGTGTAGAGACTAGCACTAATAATAAAACTAACTATAAAAAAATGTATTTTGTTTACTTAGCAGATAAGTTCTCAGACAAAATATAGATCGGGCTAAGATAAACAATCAAATGGCTCAAGAGTTGTTTGAATGTGAGGAATACAAATATTATTATTCTATGTATCATACTAGATATATAATAAATGCAAAATAAAAAATGAAGTACCAAAATAATCTTGTAATTCAGGGTTGCCTTAGTGAAGCAACATACTATATAAACCGATTAAAAATAGCAGCGATGGCATAAGCATAATACGCGGTGCTGAACTACACGCTTGTAGGCCCGGGCCAATACAAGCCGCGTAGGCCATCAGATGCGGGAGCTGGCTCTGCTCGTACAGTCCCGTGAACATGGCGTGATGGGGCCCGTACGCGAACACAGCTACGTCATCACCACCATGAGTCTCCGAGGATAATGGCACGTCCACATGAGATCTCCATCTGAGCGCTCCTTTAATTAGAGACAATATATAAAATGAAGTAAAATATTAAACATAACTGCAACAGGGTAATGCAACAGTCTACGCTGTAGCACAAATGGCTGGCCATTCGGGGAAGTACCGCGTCCTCATAGAAAACCGGTATGACGTGGAAGCGTTACACTTCTGCGTTTCGTCTGGTGAGTGAGGTACCAGAGGCCCACTTGATTAAACGGTACTAGCACGTCTCCAAACCTACCAGTTTTGAAAAATGTCCATGGGCGGCGATTATCACTCAACAATTGAAATCACGTGAACCTTGCCACCTAATTATATAAAAATTTTATAAAATAAACCTTGGAAAACAAATAATAATGTAGACATGACGCGAACAAACTTGACAACTTACCAAAGTTTGACTCTTCCGTGACATTTGGTCTAACTCCATTGATATGAGGACGGAAGCCTGGTCCGTTACTATAGGAAAGGGTCATGTAAGGTGTTCCATGCTGGTCGCGATCATTGGATATTCCTAGAATATCACTACCTCGTTGAGTATACCCATTAAACGTCATGACATGCGCGTGATCGGCCGTCACCACAATCAATGAATCTTCCGCCGATAACAATTCAGTGGCACGCGCTACGGCATTGCTAAATTCTATAGTTTCATCGAGTGCAAGCTCCACTCTATTGGCGTGATGGGCGTGGTCTATCCGCCCGCCTTCCACAAATAAGAAGAAGCCCTTTTTATTACGGCTAAGTGAATGAATTGCTATTTCAGTCAGTTCGCTGAGCGTCGGTTCAGTTTCTTTATTGGCTTCTGAATTATACTGCATGTGAGTAGCTTCAAAAAGACCCATAAGATATTCTGGAACATTTTCAGCTGCACTTAGCAACTGGCTACGATTCCATACATATTGGTGGGTAACATTACGAGAAATTTTATCTAACTGCCATTCTTCAATCAGATTCCGTCCATCTGTCCTTCGGCCTGCTGTTCCCTCTTCATCGGTACTAGTCGTTGGGATAAACTCACGCCTACCACCTCCCAAAATAACCTGAGAAATAAAAAAGTCTATTCACATAAATTTATTTCGGTTTACCAAAAATCTAATTAAATTTCCCTCCATATTATATAGCACAAACGTTGAATTTTTGGAGCAGGCTGACAATTAAACAGACGTGGGTAGTGACATTAAACTAGCCGAGGCCTAAAATTGCTTGTATTTATTCTACGAACGTATTTACATTCTTAGAATAAATACAAGTAATTTTGTAAGTATTTCCTTAAGCACCCATACAAAAAAAAATTTAAAATTTTAAAATTTTAAAAAATTTAAAATTTTAAAATTTTTCTACTGAAAAACACGGGATTTAAAAAAAAGTAGTAAGTGTTCGTGTTGGTATTGATAAATACTCGTATTATGCCAATTAACTTTAGCTTACTTTATTGTTATTGTTCAAACTAGGTTTTTTTTTTTCAATAGTTCAACATTAAGTTTCTGATTAGAGTTGGAGTACCTTGTATGTATCGCAACATTTTTGACAACATAAGTATGAAAAAAACATACCTAATTCTTCTTTCAATCTTTAACAATGTAGTCATCGTTGGAGGCAGAGCGGTACCGTTATTTAATAAATAAACCATTGCATAGAACTTTTAATCGTTAATTTAAATATAAAGAGTTCCATCGAAAAGTGAGGTATCTATTTTCTTATTTCAATGATAAAACAAAAGAATAGCACGAATTAAAAAAAATGCATAATGAGACGCTATACGTACTTTAAACTTGTTTCCTGGATATGAATGAATTAGTTGATGTGCAATGTCGGGGCAAATATCTGGATCCTGATTGTTGTCATGTACACTAGCGTCATTTTCCCAGTTACGATTTGCCACTTTAGCATACACTCCAGCCGGTGAGGCGTGAGTCACACGTGTGGTTGTCACAATACCTGAACACAGACGTGAGAGTCTTCATAATACAAAAAGAAAATTCTAAAACTCACAATTGCATATTGGTCTAAAATGTTGTCTATGGCGAGTAGCTATTTTATTGTATTTTATTTTAGTACCAGCATCTCGTCCATCCGCAATTGCCCAAGCAGCAATTGATTGAAGGTTGGTTGATGTGTCAAGCGAAGCTGAACAGTTACGCCGTGGCACCGCCGCCGTAAGACCTATAGTGCCTCGATTTGCTTTCACACCACAAAGGTATGCTGTTGCAGTACATGCGGAGTCTGCAATTTGTGCATCTACACAATACGTCTTGAAACAAAAAGAATAGCCAGTCATTAAATAAGTAATAATTAACAAGAATTCAATTTAGGATTACTCATACCTTAGACAAGCCGACAGATGGAAATTTCTCAAAGGCTAGTTTCTTCTCCTCGCCAGGATGGCCGGTGCGTTGTCCAAGTAAAGTGCGCGCAGCAGCCATGGTCGGTACGGACATGCCATCACCCAAAAACATAACAACATTTCGTGCAATTTTATCGTTGTCATTGCGTAGATGTGTCAGCCGGGCCCTGATCGCTGCCTGCGCTTCCTCTATCCAATGCTCTGCCGTCAGCTCAGCCGGGTCAATGTTGGTCCTTTCCATTCCCATATTTTGATATTCATTTTCAGGATGATAGTAATCAGCGGAGGAACTCGTGACCCATACGGTCAATGTGAATAAGAACACTTTCCTTTGTAAGCACATAGTTGGAGAAAGACACTATATGAACTCCGAGACTATAGTTTCAAATATCTTATTACAAAAATTAATTATCTTATCTTCAACTGCCATTGAGATTATTTTAGTAGCCGACAAGTTATATCACTTGTTAATTCCAATTAATACTTTTTTATCTTTTAAATTAACTTGGTTAGCTTTGAAATGATTAAGAAGAACCTAATATATTTTTATCAAATTTCCAATTCTATATATTATTAAATAATATTATATTCGATTATAAAATGCAAGTGCCTAGTCTGCCACCAGTGGCCTCTTAAAAAAATATACCACTAGAGGTAAATTAAGATATAATGTTATTCTGCCGCAATAGATAGAAGAAGAAATAATGGTGCTCTGTGGATTTCTTATAGACGATTAGATAAGGTTGAAAGTTAGATCTTGTGGTTAGAGATGACGTGGTCTTGTGGTTAGGCCCCAAGAGTGAATATAAAAATGCTGCCAGAAGCTGAAGAGTTCTGGAGAGAGCGCATGTAAGTAATTGAGCGCAGGAGTAAATATTCAGGCGAAAAATATTTAAAATAGAATAAAAATACGTTTCTTCAGGATGTTTTCAAAATTCAACATTTTCGATAAATAATTTTAAGCTCCAGGCTACATACAGAGAATTTCATCTAAAAAGGAATCATGAGGTCATGGGTACGAGGCTCTGTGCATACTTGAGAATGTAAAGGTTAGGAAGTAACATAATTATGTGCGTCATACAGTACTGGATAAACTTATGCAACAGTATGGGAATAAAAAAATTAGAAGCTGGTCTAATAAAAGTTTAAAAAATCCTAAAAATCGGTAGAATTATTTATACTTTTTCATACAAGAACAACCTTCTTGCTTTCAAATCCTAACTAATTTTGAATTTCGAAGGAACCATAATATGCTACGGTTTAATCAATTCTTCACCATGATTATTAATAATAATACGTTAATAACTGTAAAATAACTTGATTATGCATGATTTTATGTGCCAAGCAGATACCTATCAAATTTATTCACGCAAGTTTTAGTGTGTGTCCTTGAGATATTAATAGTAGGCATTGTCATTGCAAATCAGACTTTATGGGGAAAGTTTAATCACATAAATAAAATAATTTATTAAAGGATGTTGTGGTATAAAACAGTTCTTCCTTGTGTACTGCACTTGTACAGTTTTGATGTATACTGCGATTTAGGGCTTCGGCATTCAGCCTGGTCGCTTTGAACAGTTTAGAGATTTCAAATTTCAGAACATCATAACAGAAATGCGTACAGTAAGGCGGAGTGAGTTTCGGAAATTTGACTGAATAGTTATTATCAACTATGTTGACTACCGAGTCTTTATTTTTTTCCCCTCAAAAACATTAATTGTATATCAAGGACAGCTACATTTTAGTCGGTTTTCGAGGTAAGTGTAGCAAGTTCATATAATCATTCTATATAATAATCGTCAATATTGTTACGTGCTAGGGTTCGAAGTATTTGGAGAGAAAGACCTGCTGACTCTTTTGAAGACTTTATTCACAAGCACTAGGTCCAACACAAAGAAATAGGTCCAAACAATAAGCACTAACGATGTCCTAGGTTGTAGCCAAGTCGTAGGTTTCGCTGGTATCACTCTTGATCTCGAGTTTTCACTTCGAAGTCGCTTCGAAGGTCGCTCAATTTGAAACTGCACAGGCTCGCCTCTCTGCGGCTATTTATATGGGCCGAGACGAGTCCCAGACCATTCCAGAAAGTTCCTTTCCGGAATGAACCTGACTTGCACGAACGTGATCAACCGGGTTGGATGATACTGGAAAGTTCGCGCATTTTCTAATAATATAACATTTTCGACACTATACTTCTATATAGTTCCACAGTAGTTCCTCTAACGCCATCTAGTATTGAGTAGGGGGTTTTAAGTAGCCTTTGTTCTTTGAGTTGTTTTACTGGTTGACGCTAGATGACGCTTGTTTATTTGTGCTTTGTATGTTCGTAACAATATTATCAATAACGGGCTGAAATTTAAATATAACTCATGAACTGCGAACATTAACCATGACGACGCAGATTCACATTTTATGTTAATTACGTGGATAACCGAGCTTTGCCCGGAGTCATCTCTACAATCGGAAAAAAAAGAAAAACATTCATCTGGACTCAAACAGAGGTCTTTTGGTTTCGAGACCGCCCGATTACCGCCCAATAACATCGGTCTTCTAATGATATTGAAAATACCGACTTCAAAAAGGGAGGAGGTTCTCAATTGACTGTATTTTTTTTATGTTTATTACCTCAGAACTTTCGACTGATTTTGATGATCCTTTTATTTGAAATCATGATCCAATGAAATTAATATGGGACCACATGGGTAGCACCAGCTTTCAAAAAAAAAACATTAAAATGTTTCTTCTTGTGCAAAATCCCCAAAATTGTATGGGTTACCTAAAATTCACAAAACCAATGCTCCATTACGCCCAATTGTCAGCCAGATCGACTCACCAACTTATAGACTGGTTTTGTTAAGAAAGGATATACAAAGACGTACACTAAAGATTCATACCATTTTGTCAGTGAGATGAACCACCTACATCTTGCTGACAATGAAACTATGGTTAGCTTTGACATGCAGTCTTTATTTACATACTGACCTATAGAAGATTATATTTCAATAGTTACTAGAAAGCTTAAAGCAAGAAAACAATACATTAAAATGAGTTGACTCAGTCAAAAGTTCTGAGGGAACAAACATAAAAACAATACAGTCGATTTAAAAATCTCTTCCATTTTTGAAGTCGGTTGTAAATGGACTTGTTCATTGCCTGATAACGCTGATAAATCTAACTCTAATAAAAACAACAGTGCGTTAAAAAAACCGTGACGGTCTGTTTCTGGGACGTGAACATTGGAAGAGCCCCCTCGTTAGTATTTATCCATCCATCTGACAGAGTCAAAGGCACATGTACAAAAAGAGACATGTTCAAATCATGAACACAGCCAAAAACTAATATGTTTGGTCATTACTTGAAGATGACTATTTCGATTCTATTAATTCTTGTGACTATAATACAAAATAGCAAGGAGCTTAATGATTCATTCGTTATTAGTTCAAAATAATTTATTTCAAAGTATAAGTACGAATATCACTCAAATACAATTTACATGAAGTGGGGCACCGATGCCCTTATGGTGTCAATGTAGATAAATTTGGTTGACACGGGCTTTCTTGTCTAAAAAGTGTTGGCCGCTTTTCCCCCCACGGATCACTGAACGATATCCTTCGTAGGGCTCTTGTTTTTATTTATTTTCCATTTATTTTGGAGCCCTATGGCATTTTCCGCGACAATGGTAAGAGACCCGGTGGCTTGACTATGACCCCTTGGAGACAAGCAAAGCCCTCGTTTGGGATGCAACTTGTACACTTTGGCTGCCTCTCATCCAAGGCTTACTTCAGTTAGGGCGGCATTATCATCGGAGGCAGCTGAAGTAAATGGCGCAAAAATGAGTCTCTATGTTAAAATTATGTATTTGTTCCATTTTCTGTTGAAACTTTAAGTCCGTGGGGTCACCGTGCATAGAAATATTTGGAAGTACTAGTTTTATTAGATAATGTTTAATCTGAGATAGATTTAATGTTGTAAACGTTGGATAAATAAATTGTATTACATCTTAATTCACATGATGCATTTGAGGTATCCGCATCACTTAATAGCAAAACGGTTAATGTGACTAATTTTTGTGCAACAGCTAGTTGATTGGCGCTTCTACTGCGAATGCAAGGGAACTCCAGCTGCGAGGTATTCGCGCAGCTGCTGCCGCAGACCAATGTTGGGTGCCACGAGTGCGCTTTGCATCCGACGCCCGTTCATCGGCGACACCGCGCCGTCTGCTAAGCAAAAAATAGCTCTCAACACCCTCTCCTACCCAACCTTACTCATCGTTTCAACTCGTACCGTGAATATTAATGAAATTATTTATTACTTTATAGAAACATAAGATATTCATATATGTCAAATTGAGAATCTTTGCAAATCAGTACACTTTTTGCTCGGTAGTGCGGTCGCCATTATCGGTTTTTAATTCATTGTGTAAAATGTACCTTATAAAAAATTCCGTAAATTTACCTTTCAACTCTTTAGTAGTTAGAAAATGGGCTGTAATGAGAAAATACTATGCAAAGGCTTTTTTTTACATGCGTAGAATGATGGCTCGTCCTTTCTGATGGAGTTCCTTGATTATCGTGGTTATGGAGTTCTAATTATATTTCGATTAAGCTCATATTTGTATTTAAAATAACCATAAACATTACTATCGAAAAGATAAAAAAATCCGGTATACAACTTGCTTTTTATGTGGCTGTACTAAATGGAAACTATAAAGAATTTACGAAATATCACATAGAATCGCAATTATTTATTTAAATCGAATAAGTTCACCTTTCTCGCACACTTCTTGCTCATCCTCTGTAATGCTTCGAAACCAACCAAGATTTTTTTGCATTTCGAGGTAACAAATTAATGATGTTGTCAACCATATTTTAAAGAGAAATGTAACGAAAAGCTTGCCGCAAACTGACCGACAGCAAAGAAGTAGTCTATTATGTTGGCACGCTCGTAGCTAAATCCGTCGGCAGCGCGTGCTGGCTCTTTCAGCAACGCGTGCGTGAGGGGGCAGCGCAGTGAGTGAGGCGCGCCATACTCCTGCCAATGCATATTTCATTAGATCATCCGTGAACAAAAACTTTACTGTAGTAAAACAAGTAACAGCATCCTCTGCTGTGAGACCCAACGTATTAAATTTTGTAATTTTTATACGGGAAGTAGTTAAATTAGGGTTACTTTTATATATAAATATATTTTGTATAAAATTAACATACTTTTATTTTAATTGATTTTTCTATATTCATTCTTCAAAATTGACTACACGAATATCGGTCGATCACGTGAGTTCTGCTGAATAGAAATGAGTGAAAACGGGCCTGCCCATTCGTGCAAAAGCCGAGACTGCTACGTGGCCCTACCACCAAAAAATTATATTTCTAAGATTCAGTTTCATAATTACTGAAGTAACGCGAAATAGTCGATTTTATTACCGTACAGTTTTGTTAGAGCCCGGTACCCGCATATTTATATATGATTCTAAAAAAGTTTCACATAAAAAAATTTATTAAACAATATGTCAAATCTAATAAACTAATTTCCTCTTACTAGTTCGAAGCTTGGTAGATCACGCCGCAACCATTGTATTTCATCGTGAAGTCGAGTTCGTAGATCATTTACTTCGGCAACAAAAGCTAAATCAACTTCTGGGTTCTGTTTTAACTTAATCGCTAGATTATTCTGTTCTTTGTTCTCATCTGTGTTTTCTATCTCTGATTCGTTTAATACTTCTTCTATTGTTTCAACTCCTATAAATAAAATAACACATCAGTTTACTTATTATACTTATAAGGGTATTTTTTTTTTTTTTTTTATGTGAAAAGTTGCCAAGCGAGCAGACGGTTCACCTGATGTTAAGTGAATACCGCCGCCCATGGACACCTACTACACCCGAGGGTTCCAGATGCGTTGACAACCTTTAGAGAATTGGGCTCCGGACACCGCACTCACCAGACGAAACGCGAAAGTATTATACTTCCACTTGACGCCGGTCTTCTGTGAGGTCGTGGTACTTACCCGGACGATCTTGCCCATTCGTGCAGAAGCCAAGGCTGCTGCGTGGCCTTACCACCGTTTATAAAAAGATTTTCATAAGACATTGTTAAGCACTTTATCCTAAACTTAATTACGCTTGTCATCAGAAATTACTGAAGTACATTATTCACTTTTTCTCATATTCATTTGTCAACCATTTAATTACATTACTAGGACTCAAAAATTTTAGAAAATTAACTTTCTTCACTGAACAAAACCTGTACTAGGTATATTTAAAGGATACTGAACACATCTATTTTAAGTACTAAATTGATATACCAATTGATATAAAAATTATATTCAATATCAAATATTTTTATTCAGTTCAATCTTACAGGATAGGCAGATAAAAATAGAAGAAAGTTATAAAAGGTTGTTTTTATTGACTATTTTGAGTATTGACTAAGGTGGTTAGTTTTTTTTATGTGAGAAAAGGGCAAGCGAGTTGGCACTCTTTGGCACTGTTAAACCAATAAAGGCTACCCCACAGTACAACATCCCGGTCTAGGACAAAGTCCCATTGGTCGGCAAGAACTTTTCACGCAACACACAGCAATACGTCAATCTTTACATGACCGCCCGAAAAATAGAGTTAAATAATGCTTAAAAATTCGCCCTATAAGACTCCGCTCTCTGTCACCAGGCTGTAACTCATGAACAGAGATAGATAGGTTGAAATTTTCACAGACGATGTATTTTTGGTAGCCGCTATAACAACAAATACTAAAAAACAGAACAAAAAATATTTAAGTGGGGCTCTCATACTTGATTTTTTTTTGCCGTTTTTATAGGTTTTGTACGGAACCATTCGCGCGCGAATCCGACTCGCACTTAGACTGTTTTTTTTTTTTTTTACTCACTTATGTTATAGATACTGATCGAAACGAAAAACCTAATACAAAGGTATATTTAGTGCCGTTAGGCCCCAAAATTTAATCACACCCATTCCGTTCATTGCCGTATCAGCAGCGTACGTCAGTCGACATTTCCATCGAAGCTAAATCACGTTGTAAACATATCATTCGAGTACTACTTTTGAAGCCTGTGCGGCCGCCAAGTGACGAAACGTACGCGGCAGCAGCAGCTCCAGCAACCCGTCCAGGGGCTCGTCCAGCAGCCGCCGCCCCGACAGCTGGGCGTCGCGGGCGCGCTGCACCAACAGCCGCTCGCACGCGGGGCTCACCGGCGCTCCTAGGGTGCGACACACGCCGCTCGAGTTTAGGCGGAACTCTTTCACGCATTATTTGTAGATGAATAAACGAGTGTAATAAATAAAAAATAATGCAAAATCATAATGTATGACACCAATGACAAGTAAATAAAAGCGCTAATTTTTTTAAATAACGGTCCCTAGAACTTTTATATTGGAAAGCAAAAATAAAACTTTTGGTATTAAGAAAATATTTGGCACCGATTGTGGATTCATCAGATTATTTAGAAGTTAAACCGTAAACTTAGCGGTAGCTTCGTAAGTTTATATGAATGTAATAATTAAATTGTTTTTAAATATGCTGCAATTTCGAAATACTGTACACTTGGTATTTACCAGGTGTGCGCGTAACGTACTCGCGTAGCCAACGCAGTACACCCGTTATCCGCCAGTGCCGTGGCTCAACAATTTCGTCCGAGTCCTCGCCGTCGTATTGGCATTCTATCGTGGGCAAACGCCACAGTGCAAGCTCGCCGGCCAAAGAGCCGGTCGCCAGAAGTTGTTCGCCGAGCAAGGAGGCTGCGCTAGCGCCCGTGCCTTCGTCCGCCGGCACCGCTGCAACCGCACGCGCCCGCCCCTCGGCTGACACGAGCCACGCCCGCGCCCATCCGTCGGCGCCGCTGGTGGCCAAGCGCCTCGCGCCTTCCACTCCTGATCCCCAGCGGACGCTTTCCACCGCCCCGCCATGTGCCTCCACACCCCACAGTAAGCATATACTTACTCGTGCCTCTCCGCTTGAATCGTTCTCTAATAAAACCCGCCACAACTTTACCAACGCATCCCGGCCCGCAGACGCCAACATGTAAGAATTCGTATCGATCCCATTTTCTAGCGGTGCGAAGTCGCAGCTCAGCACACCTGTACATTTTTTTCTCATGTAATTTAGCAATCAACCAATAGGTAGCGCTCTAGTGCTAGCATACCCAGGTCGTGAGCAGCGGAGTGCACTCGCAGTGTAGAAGGTGTTGGTGGCGGGGCCAGTAGGCGCAACTCGCCGCCGACACCACCCACGACGCAAAGGCGCCCATCGCTAGTCCAAGCGCAACATGTCGCTGCTTCCGCAAATGGCTCGTAGACGCTATCATTTAACAAGTTTTACTAAGACAACATGCCATTCGAACTCGTACGCCGAGGGTTCCGTCCCACCCATTATACCGCCATTGTAAAATTGATAAATAATTACCACCGATTTTCTCAGGAATGGGTGTTACTTGTTAATTGCTTTTTGATTAGTTTTGTGATTCTAGGTCAACGGTCTAGGAACTACCATGTAGGTTTTCGACCCAAAACCTATAGGGTATTTCCGTTTGATCTAGAATTGTCAATTTTGCTTAAAAGTAAGGTCTTACAGCAAAATTAAAGGGAAAATTCCGAAATATACAAAAAGTTGAAAATTTGAAGAATGATGTTAGGTCCACCCGTTCCTGAGAAAATCGGTGAGTGATATTATAAGAGTTATTATTCTTATAAGAGTTATAAAAGCAAGCTTTTGTAGATAAATGAACTTAAAAGTGGAAAATAAGTTTGAATAAATATAAATCATATTTACACTTTCCAAATCCAATACCCAGTGTATTGGATTTGGAAAATACTAATCTTGAAAGTCCTGATCATCAGGATAGTGGAAAAACTACTTAAATTTTTGCATTTTCATGGGTCTTTGGCGAATGTGCAAAGTTTTATTCAAATCTGATCGTTGAAAGTGAGGCAAAATCACATACTAATACACCTGAATAAAACCTTAGTTAAGTGGACAGCGAGGCATTTGTAACTTGTAATGGGCTATGACGATGGTCGTAACCCATTACAATGGGTGAGGCTGATTGTTTACCTTTGACTAATATTATTTATAACTTTGATACAAGTATATGTTTAACGTGCAATCATTATTGACTTTATTAAAATATTGTTTTTAATGATAATATTATTGCTTAAGATTATGTACATGTGGCGTAAATGTTTTCTTTCTTTCTTTCTAATAGTAGTAAACTTTCAAGTTACTGTAAGGGTTCCGAAGAGCGCTGCACGACGCTCCACAAGGCGAGTGCGCCATCGTCGGTGGCCAACAACAGCAGCGGCGGCCGGTGGGTCGAAATACAGGCGCCGCGCACTCCGCCGCCCCCGGCCTCACCGCCGCACAGGCTCTCGCCTGACAGCGATAGCAGCTCGCAACCGGACTGAGTTATTACTACTATATTGCAGTTGTTCAATCTCAAGTTCAATCAATATTGAACTTGTAATTGTGCCAGTTTATAAATCAAGCTCAAGAGAAAATGCCTCTAATTACCGTCCCATTTCTATCTTACCAGCCTTAAGTAAAATATTTGAGAAAATAAAGCTGGATCAGATGCTATTTCATTTTAATAAATATGAAATTTTGGACCAGCATCAGTTCGGATTTACGAAAGGTAGATCTACAACTGATGCTGGAGTAGATATCCTGCAGTCTTGGGAAACGTTCCATGATACCATTGGTGTGTTCTGTTAGACACGATATTTGATTTGCAAAAGCAAGCGATACATGCTATCTATGGCCTGGGTCCACGTGAGTCCCCTCGGCATATTTTTGAACAAATAAACATCTTAACGCTCCCGTCGCTATACATACTTGGGAACATCATGTATAACACATTTTACAAAAAAACATACCACATAACGTCGGGGCCGTGATGACACGTTGGAAATACCGAGGTTTAGACTAACTAAAACCAGAAAATCGTTTCTTGGTAGATGTATTAACTTATATAATAGAATAGGTGAACAAACAATTAAGTGTCAATAATTTCAAACATTTTGTAAAAGCCACCTTAATTGAAAGGGCTTATTATAATGTCGAGGAATACATTAAGAGCAAGGATGTGTGGAAATGAGTATTGCTCCTGACTCCTGACTCCTGTTAAATTACACTAAAATAATTTAGTGTATATACTTAAATAGTTAAAAAAAATACATATATGACCGCAGAGTTTCTTGCCGGTTCTTCTCTTGCAGGTCTAGTTTAGTGAGCCGGTGTTGGTTTTTGACGTTCAATAAGAGCTAAGCCTATGTCGAATAAAGAAATTTTGACTTTGACTTTGACTTTGAAGTTGCGAGTTAGTAATCGACTTTCGAACATTGCTTAATTTCACAGAAGCCCATTATTACCTGTAGGTCCCAGAGGCGAGCGCGGCCATCAAGTCCAGCGCTGAGTAGTAGTGCCCCTCCAGCACCGATGTCGACTGCCACGGCGGGGTAGCGGTGGGCCGCCAGTATGCGCTCGCACGACAACATCTGTAGCCGCTCGCTCCAGCGGAATACTCGCACTGACCCATCGCTGTAACCTCTCTAGGCATTCTCATTAGCATTCCTAGCAAATTTCATAATTTATCTTGAATTATTTACTGGGACAAATACAAACCTACAAGCAGTCGCAAGAAGATCTTTATGTATAGCGATCGAATTAATGGCTCCAACTTGTGCATCCTTCAAAATCCATACACGTTCTGCCCCATTGTATCCATCGTCCCTTCCAATGGCCTCTTCAGATTTTAAGTCCTCTTCATAGAAGTCCTCAATATGTTCACATGGTTCGATTCCCTGAAATAATTTGTCACAAAATAATGAATATAAAATTTTATGTCATTTTAGAATACGTTTTTTTTTTTGTTTATTGTACACACAATTATAATACGGAAAATCGGAACGAAAAACAAAAAACAGAAATAGCACTGTGTTAATGGATAAAAGTAAATAAATAAGATCTTAGCCCTTGCGCTCGTTCCTTACCGCGAGATCTCCAAGACCAAAGTGCGACAAAACTAAACACGGAGGTTCGATGTCGTCATCAAGCGTAAAATTCCCAATGGCCCAAGTGCGCACCGAACGATCATTGGATCCTAAATAAATCAATAGTTTTTGTTTTTATGAAGATGCAATCAAAACAATTTTACTTATGAATATGAAATTAACAACTTTAATAATGTAATGGGATACTAATATGCACAAATGTACTGACTTAATACGTGCTATGGAATATAATACTAATTGTCGTAATTTAAATTGCGCAACATTCGATATTCTCTACGTACCTGTAAGCATGAAGCGCAAATCATGAGATAGCGCAACGCTAGTGAGGTAACGAGAGTGCGCATGTAGCACGCGTAGGCAGGTTAAGGTGAGTGGCACCCAAAGTCGGGCGGTGCGGTCCAGTGAAGCGCTCGCCAGCAGCTCCCCTGCGGCCCCTCGTGACCAACAAAGTGCTGTCACCGCGGCCGTATGCCCACACAGCACCCCGGCAGCAACCACTCCCCGCTTACGGCCTGGCACTGGTGCCACTCGCCACAGTCGCACGTGGCCATCGTGGCCTCCCGACGCGGCCACCTCGCCTCCTTCAATAGTGGCTGCGCACAGGGCGCCCAAGTCGTGCGCACCATCCTCCCACAGCAGCGGTGGTGGCAACTCTTTCCCCGATGCATCGTGACTGAAAATATCTATCGAAAAATTCATATTTTCATATTATCAATATTATACTTTTTTTTATGAGAGAAGGTGGCAAATGAGCTGATGGTTTATCTGATGATAAGTGATAATCGCCGCTCATTGAGATTTGCGACACCCATAGAACTTACCAGGATGGACCTGCTTATTCGTGCAACAGCGAAGACTGTTGCCGCATGACTACACATCTGGTGATATAAATTGCATGAGTTTTTGGTCTGTGAAAACTTTACTTGCAAAAATCGCAATGCCGTCTTCAATTATTATGCTCGGTGTCCGGGGATCGACACATTTTGAACTGAAAGCTCAAGAGGTTAAGTTAAGCTCGAACACTATAACCGCCGGACCTCGTTACCTCAATATAATAAGCTATGTTTATTTTGTAATCGTTGCCTACCATCGAAATCGAATATCTTAAGAGTGCCGCTAGTACAGGCGACAAGCAGCATAGAGCCACGAGCGAGCGTTGTTAGCGCATGTAAAGCACCATCGCAGGGCAGCAGGCGCATTATAAGCGCGCATCGCTGCACGGCCCACATGTAGAGCACGCCGTCATCGTGGCCCACCAAAAGGCGGGAGGTGCACCAGCATAGTGAGCGGGCAGCGGCTGCC